CTCGTTGTACATTTTTCAACTTTCTCTTTCTGATTGTAATTATACGTATCTATCTATTTCAGCCTGTTCATATCTATCTATCTATCTATCTATCTATCTATCTCAGTCTGTTCATATCTATCTATCTATCTATCTATCTCAGCCTGTTCATATCTATCTATCTATCTATCTATCTATTTATATATCTATCCATCTATTTATATATCTATCTATTTATCTATCTATCTCAGTCTGTTCATATCTATCTATCTATTCTCAGTCTGTCAATATCTATCAATTTGAGTCGGTTCATACCTATCGATCTATCTCTCTCTCTCTCTCTCTATATCTATATATATATATATATATATATATATATATATAGATAGATAGATAGACAGATAGATAGATAGATAGGTATGAACTGACTAAAATAGATAGATAGTCGGGTCATAACTATGTATGTAACTATCAATCAAAGTTTTGTCATATCTATCTATCTATATATATATATATTTATATATATATGTATAATATATATATATTTATAAATATATATATGTATATATATATATATATATATATATATATATATATATATATATATATATATATATATATATATATATATAAATCGGTTCATAACTATGTTTGTAACTATCAAAGTCGTGTCATCTATCTATCTATCTATCTATCTATCTATCTATCTATCTATCTATCCATGTATATATATATATATATATATATATATATATATATATATATATATATATATATAAATCGGGTCATAACTATGTATGTAACTATCAATCAAAGTCGTGTCATATCTATCTATCAATCTATCTATCAATATCAGTCTAATCATATCACATTTTCGGTAAGGTTTCTGCTCATGTTAAAGCCATGGTATTCTGAGCATCTATCATTAGTAGCATTTGTTGGTTTCCTGCAGTTTCCTCTTCATCTGTGAGGAGATTTTCTCGCATTCACTGTCACACAAGACGATTGATATCACATAGCAGTTCGGCTCTTGGAACGGTAAATTGATTTCATTTTCTCAACAGATATCTGAATGACAATGCACTACATGAAACAGTCAGATTTTGGCGTCACTTTTCTAAATCTATCTATCTATCTATCTATCTATCTATCTATCTATCTATCTATCTCATTCTGTTCATATCTATCTATCTATCTATCTATCTGTATATATATATATATATATATATATATATATATATATATATATATATATATACATAATAAAAAAGGCTTAAACACTAATATTCCATAGTCATAATTTATTTCATAGGAATCGTAAATACGATCCAATTCATCAGACCTACAAATTCAAAAAGGAAACACAAAAAACAACTCCGGGAATAAAAAATAAAATTTAGTGAGAATGTATGTATGAGAGTGTGGGACGAATGTTAGAGTAAATGAAAGCTATAGGGAGGGGTAACAGACGAGAGAAGAACAGGAATGTCTAAAGATGAAGCGGGGATTAAAATTTAACAGAGGGAAGTTTTAAAGAGGTGAGTCAAAGACGGTTTAAGCGATAGAAATATGAATATTCTCGGATGTCAAATACATTAAAGATTTGCGGGAAAAGAGTATACATTTTGTGGTGACATACACACACACACAATAGACGATCTAATCTTAAAGATCAGAAGAAGGGGGAGGGAGCAGAAAAGAAAAGAAAAAGGAGTTGGGGAGGAGATATGGGGTGGGGGAATCTAAATCCAAAGGGCATTTATAAAAGGGCCGCTGTGTAATTAAGAAAATTTGACAAAAGTAATATCGACTACAGGTTACAAATCAAATACAAACATATAAAAATATAACAATTATCTAATCTAGCAAGGACCTATATTTCTATGTTCAAAAACACATACGTATACACACATACACAACAACATATTTATATTTACACGTGCATACATGCATATAGGCGTGTACACACCTACCCTATATATATATATATATATATATATATATATATATATATATATATATATATATATGCGATTCCAATGGAATAAATTATGACCATGGAATATTAGTGTTTAAGCCTTTTTATTATATCCTTACTCTGTCCTGGACATTGAGTTCTACCTGCATTCTATCACCTTGTAATTATTTTTTATGCATATACATATGTATGTGTATCTATGTATATATATTTATATATATTTTAGATATATGTTTGCATATGTATGTGTATATTAACTACTGATATTATCTATAAATATATATATATATATATATATATATATATATATACACACATATATATATATATATATATATATATATTCAATAGCATCACGTGATAATATATATATATATATATTTGTAAAATATATAATTTATAATATATTGATAAAAAATATATATATATATATGCATACACATATTATCAATATATGTATTATATATATTTTATCAATATATATATATATATATATATATATATATATATATATATATATATATTCAACACCATCAGTTGTTAAGACACCAGAAGCATTGAAACAAAATCGCTATTTTGAAGCCTTTTTATAACATGTTTAGGTTATAATTTTCGAATAAATTATTTATATATATATATATATATATATATATATATATATATATATATATATATATATATCAGTTTATGCCTGTCTATCTATATATCAATCTATCGATCTATCAATCTATTAAGCTATCAGTCTGTTTATTTTTTCGGTCTATATCTATCTATCTATCTCTCTCTCTCTCTCTCTCTCTCTCTCTTTTTATATATATATATATATATATATATATATATATATATATATATATATATATATATATATATATATACACAATTATATCGATCTCTGTGATGGATGGTCTAAAACTAATTTCGACGGTAGCCACAACAGTAACACTGGTTAACCAAACAAGGCACTGTGAGATTGCTATAAATTTTCGAAGTTATTTTGTTTATCATATTTCCGACAGTGTCAGGATTTTCAGGACGTCACCTGTCATAAACCTCGCCGTTGACACTGGTGAATCAGACTTTGTTCACACCCGATGTTTGTTCTTTGTAAACATTCAACAAGTGTCAATGAATGGCGATGGGTACGTTCTTTTTTTTTTTTTTTTCTCATCGTAGAAATCGTTGACACACCTTTTTCCTTTGCACATGCTTTTCAAATCAGACGCCATCATCTGGTATCCGCATTTAACAAAAGAAAAGAAATTATCTGTTGTGAAGATTTAAATATAAGGAGAAATGAAGGATCAGATAGGTAAAAAAACTTCTGTGTGACACATTTCGTTCCGTCAAGAAATTTTTTCAGACGAATAACGGTTCAGTTGATGGAATCCGTGCCACATCTAACGAGACAGGCAAGTGGATGAGTTCAAATATAACAAAGGCACGTTGTAATTTAAACACTGTCATTCATGTTTCTTATTATTTTTGTCATTAATTTTAAATATATCTCAGTCGAATCATATCTATCTATCTATCTATCTATCTATCTATCTATCTATCTATATCTCAATCACTGTCTGATCTATCTATAGCAGAGCGTTCATTATCTATCTATCTATCTACTCGGGCGATATCTATCTATTTATCTAAGATGGTTCATATGTATCCATCTATTTATGTGAATCAGGTCATATCTATCTATCTATCTATCTATCTATCTATCTATCTATCTATCTATCTCAATCACTGTCTGATCTATCTATAGCAGAGCGTTCATTATCTATCTATCTATCTACTCTCAAGGATATCTATCTATTTATCTAAGATGGTTCATATGTATCCATCTATTTATGTGAATCAGGTCATATCTATCTATCTATCTCTATCTATCTATCTATCTCAATCACTGTCTATCTATCTATAGCAGTTCATTACTGGTCATATCTATCTATATCTATCTATTTATCAAAGATGGTTCATATTATCCATCTATTTTGTGAATCAGGTCATATCATATCTATCTATTATCAAGACTACGGTCATATCTATCTAAGTCGGGTCTTATCTATTCATCTTAATCAGGTCATATCGATCTATCTATCAAGACGGGTCATATCTATCTATTTAAGTCGAGTCATGTCTATTTATCTTAATCAGGTCATATCTATCTATCTATCTATCTATCTATCTATCTAAGATGGGTTAACTATCTATCTATTTATCTAAGTCGGGTCATATTTATCTATCTAAGTAGGGTCGTATGTATTTATTTTAATAAGGTCATATCTATCTATCTATCTATCTAAGACGGGTCATATCTATCTATCTATCTATTTATCTAAGTCGGGTCATATTTATCTATCTAAGTCGGGTCATATCTATCTAAGACGGGTCATATCTATCTATTTAAGTCAGGTCATATCTATTTAATTTAATAAGGTCATATCTATCTAGCTATCTAACGCGGGTCATATCTATCTATTTAAGTCGAGTCATATTTAATTATCTTAATCAGGTCATATCTATCTAAGACGGGTCATATCTATCTATCTATTTAAGTCGGGTCATATCTATTTATTTTAATAAGGTCATATCAATCTATCTATATATCTATCTATCTATCTATCTATCTAAGACGGGTAATATCTATCTATTCATCTTAGTTGGGTCATATCTATCTATCTATCTATCTATCTATCTATCTATCTATCTATCTATGTATCGGGTCATAAGTATCTATCAATGTATCTATCTATCAATCTAAGTCGTGTCATATCTATCTATCGATCTATCTCTGTCAGTCTACTCATATCTATTTCAGGCTGTTGATAACTATCTAATTGAGTCATTATTATCTATCTATCTATCTATCTATCTATCTATCTATATATATATATATATATATATATATATATATATATATATAGAGAGAGAGAGAGAGAGAGAGAGAGATGTGTGTGTGTGTAAGTGTGTGTAAATATAAATATATCATTCTACATATCTCAGTCTGTTTATTATCTAAGTATATTTAAACCTGTTCATCTCTATGTCTATCTTTCGTTTTCTTTTTACCACTCTTCTCATTTATCTCTTATTCAATCTATCAGTCGATCTCCGTCTAAACATATCTATCTATCTATCTATCTATCTATCTATCTATTTCTATCATCTTCTCAGTCTGTTTTTCTATCTATCTATCAATCTATCATTCATCATTCATCATCTCCATTCATCTATCAATGTATTCTCATCTTGTTCCCATTTTCCCGCACCTATCTATCTATCTATCTATCTATCTATCTATATCTATCTATCTATCATCTATCTATCTATCTCAATCCCTCATCTTTTTCTAATCTATCTATCTATATTTGTATCTATTCATCTATCTGTCTATCAATCTATCGATCCATTCATCTCAGTGTGTTCCTCATCTTTCCCGCACTCTATCTATCTATCTATCTATCTATCTATCTATCTATCTATCTATCTATCTATCTTAATCTCTTCTAATCTATCTATCTATCTATCTATCTATCTATCTATCTATCTATCTATCTCAGTCAGTTCATACACAAAACACATGCACACACACACTCGCAGACACACTCACACACACACACACACACACACACACACATATATATATATATAAGTTTGTTGATATCTATCTATATATATATATATGTATGTATATATATCGCTTTTCTTTTTAATTTATCTCTCTCTCTCATTTTCTCTATCTGAGCCTGTTCAAATCTCAATCTACCTATCTCAGCCAGTTTACACACACACACACACACACACACACACACACACACACATACATATATATATATATATATATATATATATATATATATATATATATATATATTTCAGTTGAGCACTGTTTAGAGATAGGCTGATTCTATAAACAACAGTCACCTACGCTAATGCAAAGCTCTTCAGTAAAATGAATTGGAGCACTCTGACTGATTGACGTTTGTTTACATTCGTAAAAAAAACAATACGATGGAATTAGCCGTTTGTCCCTGCCAAGTTATGATGGCTTAGGGGTAGAAACTCTGACTGACACTAAATCGGTCAGGTTTCAATCCTGGCTTGAACATAAGTAGAGCAAAACCTAGTGAACAAAGAACATACCTACGAATGTTTCAACTGATGGATAGCTTGACGTGCCTTTAACCGATTTGACCTTGTTAACCGAACGCTCCTCTGTGGCCAAATCGGTTAAAGGCACGTCAAGCTAAATGACGGTTATGTATATATTTGTATCTTTAAAAAGGTTATGTATATATTTGTATCTATAAAAAGAATGTATAAACAAAGAAATGCCTTGAAATAATTGTCGGACTTTGTCCATTTCATGTGTGACCTCATTTGTTTACATTTGATACGCGATGAGCAGATATGAATGTATGTGAGAGATTCATAGAAGATTGAAGTTTAAATACAGTAAATTTGACCTTGCTAACCGAACGCGCCTCTGTGGCCAAATCCGTTAAATGCACGTCAAGCTAAATGACGGTTCCGTATAGGATACAGGTTCGAATCCTGTCGGAGGACGAATATTTCTGTGAAAATTTCTCGGACATTAAGGCCGGTAAATTTTGTTTAATACTGTTTATTATAAACAGAATATTGATTTAAATATTTGTACCTATAAAAAAAATGTATAAAGATAAAAATGTCTTAAAATATGTATGTATCTATGTTTGCGACGATTGTCACTTCTTTATCGAAGAAGAACATCTCTCCACTTGATTGATTTTTTGTGCCTCTCAGTCAGAATTTCAATATTTCCGGCACCCATACATGACATAAAAGAAACACCCAAGGCAAGTCCCACATTTTCATTCTCCTTTACACACCTGGTAAACATAAAATCTTTCTGTTTGTCCTATATTAGAAACTTGCCAGTCCCAGTTTACAATCATGTGACTCAGAGTCCCGCAACTGACCCACATAACTTGTCGCAAAATTCGCACAAACAACCTGCAGGTCTTTATGTTAGGGTTGCATTCGCAGTAGTTTGCACCTGAACAATCTTGTGAGATCGCATGCGACTATCAAAACCAGCCGTTGAGAGGGCGACTTTTCAATAATACTTCAAGAGTGTTGGTGACCCACTAGATCCTGGACCAGTCTGTTTCTCCCTTACCCATAGAACGCCCTATAGACCACTCCCAACCAGCAACACGCACATACACACACACATACAAATATACAAATATACAAATATATATATATATATATTTTATATATATACACACACACACATATATATATATATATATATATATATATATATATATATATATATTCATGAATTATTCACACAAAAACAAATGCAAAGGTTAATGATTTAATTGGCGAGAAATCCATCGTCGCAAACAATTCAAATAATATACAAAAATCTCCGAATCCGTTATGAATGAAAAGATCCTTGTTTCTATAAATTTCTGCCGTATTAGTTCTTATTTTTACTACAAGCTTTCGTCTGTTCCTACAGACATCTTCAGGTATGGAATAGATGTTGTTCTTGTTTTTTCCCTTAGTAATAAGAGGACAACGAAAATATATGTATTGTTGTATCCGAAAATGCTATTGGAAATGAGTTATTGTTTTTGGAGCGCGCAGTAGCAACGCTGAGTTTGATTTTAAATTTTTTACAGTTGTGCGTTCATGTACAAATATGGTGATATACGAATTTTTTACTGGTAAATTTTCTGTCAAAGTGGCATGAACTATATTGTTCAATAATTACAGTAATGTCGCACTTATTATCCAAAAGTCGCACTTGGATCAGTTATTTTAATTACGATAAACGTGCAATCAATTTACAAATTCATGAATTATTCACACAAAAACAAATGCAAAGGTCAATGATTTAATTGGCGAGAAATCCATCGTCGCAAACAATTCAAATAATATACAAAAACCTCCGAATCAATATATATATATTGTAATTTGTTTTTATTTTTTTAAAATATGAGTCCCTCGCTACACTACATAAAAATAAAAATAAAAAAAAACAAAAAATATAAAAATAATTATAATTTAGGCTCTACTTATGTATTGAGCACTGTTTCTTAAAATTAAAATCAAAAATACTAAAGAAATTCGGATTATTATCCTAACGGTTCTTTTCCATTTTTCTATATATATTTGCACACACACACACACACACACACATATATATATATATATATATATATATATATATGTATATACACACACACACACACACACACACACACACACACACACACACATATATATATATCAATTGAGCACTGTTGAGAGATAGGCTGATTCTATAAACAGCAGTCACCTACGCTAATGCAAAGCTCTTTAGTTAAATGAATTTGAGCCCTATGGCTGATTGTCGTTTGTTTAATTCGTAAAAACAATGCGATAGAATTAGCTATTTGTCTCCGAGTGATGATGGCTTAGTGGGAGAAATTTTGACAGACATAAAAATCGGTTGGGTTTCGGTCCTGGCTTGAGGCATTCGGATGTCTAGTCGCACGGAAGAGCTGTGATACAGCGAAAAAAAAAATACTGGCTGCAATTAACATATATGCAGGAAGTAAAGTAAAATCTAAAAACCTAGTGAACCAGAACATATCTACGAAGGTTTCAACTAACGGATCTTCAGGGTACTACTGGGCAGTAGTACCGTGAAGATCCGTTAGGTAAATACTTGGTCGGTAGGTTCTGGCTCATATATATATATATATATATATATATATATATATATATATATATATATATATATACCCCTCCAGCTATGGGTAAAATAGCAGGACAGACTGGGTTCTATAGCCTTGGATGGCAACTGGTCTAGGAGAAGGACAACTCTGAATTCAAAAACCTGCGGAGGGTCGTTTGGGAACCTTGTGGCATGTATTCGTTGCACCAGGTTTCTGTATTCGTCCCTCCAAAAAGTGTGGCTGGTCCTGCACAAGGCCTTCACTTCACCACTATAAACAAATCTCATGTGCCGGTGTCAGGACGTCGGTTTCCTGAGGGACTTATCGGCCTGACCCTCATACGTCGAAACGACGGGAGAGTCGATTATATATATATATATATATATATATATATATATATATATATATATGTTGCAAATTATATAAGTTGCAAATTAAAAAATAATTATGTTTTTTTATGAAAGTATTTATTTATATTTGATATTTCAGATCGACCTCAATCTTTCTTCAGAAATAACTGTTTGTTTACAAGTAGGGTCCGTCGCGAGATGCGGACGTCACGTGATATGGAACACCACTGTGTTCGAATATTTTAATGTAAATCTAACTGTAATAATAATTTAGATGTTGTTTTATTTTAGATGTTATATATATATATATATATATATATATATATATATATATAAATAAATTGATTTAAAATATGTTTTTTCCGCTACACAGTTGTAACCATGTTTCAAAAATGGAAGCTGAACGCACCAAATTTAATTTTGTAATTAAATTAAAGACATTAGTTCCATTTCATCCTCAAGCGAATTTTGGAGTAACTTTTAAAATTACTGGGTTTTAAATACACAGCTAAAACAAAATTCATGTTTCCAAGGTTACAGATAAATCTATTTTTCTAGACAGGGGTGTCTAGGTGTTCAATATGTCTATATTTTAATGTATCAGTTATTGCTACTTTTGGTAGTGGGGAGGGATGTATTTTTCAATGAAATCTAACTTCCGTTAAAAGCGTGTCGTTTGGATTTTTTTTTTAATTTATGTTGTTAACGGCTAAAATTCTTACGGCATTTTTTTCTACGTATATTTCTTTTGTGGGGTATTTAGGTAAGAATAAGATTAGAACACCGGATTATATATCTTACTGTTCTTTCTTTTTATATATATATATATATATATATATATATATATAAGTTTTATATTTGTTGTTATCTCTATGTTCTCTTCTCATTTGAAGAAAGAACGGCCCATTCTGTTTTTTTAAATTTAAAAATGTTTATTTACTCACCAGTTATTTGTTATCGCCTAAGGAGGTACAACTCTTTAGTGCTGAAACATGAAAACTATTGAGTAACGATCCGTTTGTTTTTAATCTCACATAATAAATAACATTTGTCAGTTCATTATTAATCTATCTCAATCTGTTCATATTTATATTTCTATCTCTGTCTATTCAAATCTATCTATCTATCTATCTATCTATCTATCTATCTATCTATCTATCTATCTATCTATCTATCTCAGTCTGTTCGTATCTATCTATCTATCCATCTATCTATCTATCTATCTATCTATGCTATTGTTTTCATTATGTCTGTCTCTCTATCTATCTGTCTGTCTGTCTGTCTGTCTGTCTCTCTCTCTCTCTCTCTCTCTCTCTCTGTCTATCTATCTATCTATCTATTTATGTTCATAGTTATCTATCTCAGTATGTTCATATCTAATTCTGTTCATATATATGAAAGTATGTTTCATATCTATCTATCTATCTATCTATCTCAGTCTGTTCTTTTATCTATCTATCTATCTATCTATCTATCTATCTATCTATCTATCTATCTCAGTCTGTTCTTTATCTATCTATCTATCTATCATTGTCAGTTCTTTATCTATCTGTATCTATCTATCTATCTATCTATCTATCTATCTATCTCATCATTCTTTATCTATCTATCTATCTATCTATCTATCTATCTATATCAGTATGTTCTTTATTTATCTATCTATCTATCTATCTATCTATCTATCTATCTATCTATCTATCATTGTCATTTCTTTATCTATCTGTCTCTGTCTGTTCGTATCTATCTATCTATCTATATCTATCTATCTATCTATCTATCTGTCTATATCAGTATGCCCCTATCTATCTATCTATCTATCTATCTATCTATCTATGCTATTGTTTTCATTATCTGTCATCTGTCTATCTATCTATCTATCTATCTATCTATATCTATCTATCTATCTATCTATCATTGCTTTTCATCTATCTATCTATTGTTTTCATTATCTGTCTATCTATCTATCTATCTATCTATCTATCTATCTATATCAGTCTGCTCGTATCTATCTATGCTATTGTTTTCATTATCTATCTATCTATCTATCTATCTATCTATCTATCTATCTATCTATCTATCTATCTCAGTCTGCTCGTATGAATCTATCTATGCTATTGTTTTCATTATCTATCTATCTATCTATCTATCTATCTATCTATCTATCTATCTCTCGTATGAATCTATCTATCTATTGTTTTCATTATCTATCTATCTATCTATCTATCTATCTATCTATCTATCTATCTATCTATATCAGTCTGCTCCTATTATTATCATTATTGTTTTTCATTATCTATCTATCTATCTATCTATCTATCTATCTATCTATCTATCTATCTCTCCCTTTCATTTCAGAGAATACAGTTTTGAAAGTGAAATAAATTTATTATTGCAAAAATATCATTTAGCGCCCCTTTTAATAAATTTTCGCTTCAATTTTATTTCACTTTTCATCAAAACGGTTTTCTTTAGACTTTTTAATACGTGTTTCGTAAAATGTTTGCCAAAATATTTCTATTAGCACTTACTCACAATTTCAAATAGCGCAGTGTCTAACGAAAGCCCTCAGTATAAACTGCACTTGGGTCAACTTCTACAATCCAAAATAGTAATTTCCTGATCGCATCCAGAACTTGACAATCTCCATGGTTATTTTTAATAATTCATAGTAATTCTTAAAATGGGACTGCACAGCCAGGCAACAATGCAATTTCAATCGTTATCTTCTGTCTTCTTAATTCGTGTCCTTTTGCTGCTTTCTTTCTTTAACAGTGTTTTTCTTTTTAATAATCTCTAACACACATCACTCTTTTAGATATTTTGCTTAAATAAAACTCTGACGAGCTTCATTTCTTAATTCGACTTATTCACCATGTTACACGAAAAACCCTCAATCCCATGCACATAAGAGGGAAACATCCTCATTCTCTTCGTACGCCATTTGTAAGATAAACGTTCTATTCGGATAACTTCGTGCCAGGATCCAAAGCTTTCTGGAACAGAATCCCGTGAGAATCCTTGCTCTTCTAGTAGAATCTAAAAGTTCAGAGAAACAATTACCTATCTAGCCTCCATATCCTCGAAATCTATAATTGAAATTTGCCTGGAAAGTCGGAAGAGATTCCAATTGCTTGAAATGTTTTTAATCATATCACCCGTCCATGAAAGGCAGTAAAGCCACTAAGGCACAAGAGGCTACCGAGAAAGTGTCTGAAGTTCGGATGCCAGATTCGTATCGAACGCATTACCGACTCTTATTAGAATTTTGTCAAAAATCTTGCGATAGACGTCAAACGTACCAGACCAGATATGGCAGCAATATTCAATACAGAGACAAATGGTAGATTTATAAATATAAGATTCTGGCACGACAAACTGAGCCATCTCTCCGAGCGTTCGGCGTAGAAATGTGTTTGATATTTTCGCTCTTCTTTTTGCCAATAAAGTCTAAAGCGTTGCTCTTTTCCAGTCTAATATAAGCGTTGCCGACATCAGGCAGATTGATTGATTTGTTGATTTGTTTCTTACGTATTACCAACTTTTTTAATGTTATTCAAATCCGAAAAAATATTTGAGATGATAGGAAATTTTGGCGGTAATAATGATTTTCTGATATAAGTTTAACTCATTCTTGATCGGAGTAGCAGTGGCTTCATACCTTTTCCAAGTTTATTTGCAGATAAGTGAATGTAAGGTAATCATGTGAAATTCGAACTCTGCTCTCTAAGCGCACATCTAAGCTTAACGAATCTGGTATTCCAAAGCGGCCGTCCATCGAGGTACTGACTCAGTTCGCCCTTGTCTTGTAATGTATTAAAAATAATATAACAATACAATGTAGTAACATCTATGTATAAGCACAGGTTTCTATGCAATATAAATGATACAATGGAAATTTTACGAAATTAATACAAAACAACATTTTTTTAAATTTACATGTAAGTAATGGAAAATAAAAATAAAGTTTCTAATAACACTTTATTGGGATCCACTGATGATTATGATTCTAATATGAACATGACAAAAAACTTTGGAGTCCATCGTATATGCGCAGCTTAAGCAACATCGTGATTTATTGGTGTCCAACTTAATGGCATTGACTTGTATATTTGTGTGTGTGTGTGTGTGTGTGCATATCATTACAGCATTATGATAAAAAAATATGACTGTTTCCTCAGCTTTCCGTGTTAATGCACTTAATTCTACTAATAAATGTTGGTCATACAGATCAAATATTATACAAAGAAAATATCAGATTAAGACTCATCTGATGAGTGTGTAAGGCACAGAATTATTGATTATACAGTGTGAACATACCCGGAATATAGAGATTTTCTCTGGATATAAGAGAAACCACGGATATAAGAGAGATTTTGTCTGGTCCCAAATTAGAGCCTGTGTATAATGTATATATATATATATATAGTATAAATGAGACAAACCCGGATATAAAGAAACCCTTTTCTCTGGTCCCAAATTAGAGCCTGTGTTAATGTATATATAGACCAAACGGAGGGACTTCTCCGGTCCCGACAACTCTCTTATATCCGGGTTACACTGTATATATATATATATATATATATATATATATATATATATATATAGTATAACCCGAACATAAGAGACCTCTGGTCCCAAATAGAGAGTATATAAAACCAGGAGACTTCTCCGGGATATAAGAGATATATATATATATATATATATATATATATATATATATTTTGTACTTGGTGTCCTCTTTACAAAATAAAAAAATAAAAAAAAGAATCTAGTATTCCCAAGCGGCCGGCCGTCCATCGTATACTGACTCAGTTCGGATTGCAATGAGAACCAGTGTTTCAACGCTCCAAACCTGTGAAAACGGATATAAAAAAAAACTTTTTGTCTCGATTATTTCCGGTCCCTAGCATGCAGGGGTTGCAGAAGATTTTGCAGAATTGATAGAGAAAAGGATGAGGAGAGGGATTGGATATATCCGGATACATTTACACTTCCTTCTGTATCCCGGGTGAATCAATATATGGTATCTGCTATATCATATATATATATATGTTTTTTCTCGTCAGAATCGGTCTTGAACATTTATAAATATATTGAATATACTGACATATATATATATATATATAGTGTGGGATATAAAGCCGACACGGAAACTTAAATTCAATGAGACCACGCCCGTTGATATTATCCATAATCAAATGGATCCACAGTTATTCAAGACCCGGATATAAGCAAATGGAAATGCTATTCATTTTCGTACTGTTGTAATGATCTGGTCCCAAATTAGAGCCTGTGTTAATGTACAATTTTTTTATGGTAATTGTTCAGATTGTTTTTGCTCGTTAATGTCTTGACCAAACGTGCAAAAAAAGTGGCAACTAAGTCTCGGTCTGTTCCGTTAACTCTCGTTCCATATTCGTTGATTTTTTTTTTTTTACGTATTATCAACCTTTTTATATAAATATATATATATAGAAAATAACATATTTTGGATTATAGAAATTTTTTAGTAGTAATAACGATTCTGTGTTTTACTATTTAACCATAACCGAAAGCGGAGTTTCACACCTTTCCCAAGGGTATTTGAATATTTAACGAACCAAAATGGAAAAAAAAAAAAACCTAGTATTCCAAAATCCTCTATCTGGTTTACTCAGTTAAACCCTAAGAGAACCGCTGTTCAAACCTGGCCGTCCATGAAATTTCTGTGACAGGTAATGTAGAAAGACGGCCTAGAGAATATAACACTCGCATGGCATTTTGCAGGCAAGTGACGAAAGTGTGTTTAACCTTCTTAAAGATTTTGCGTAGGTGGATTGCAGAACAATGCCGAAGTAGCATGCTGGAATTGTCAAAAGTTCCTGAGAACAACAAGAAAAGCAGGATTTTTTTTTATTTATTTATTCTAAGGAACGGTCATAAAGATTTTCTGATATGTTTAAAACCGATAATTTGTCAGGTCCAACTAAGGGATAAATAAAAAATATATTTAAATATTTTTCTCTTGCTAATAGATATTTTTTTGCTCCTGTGGCAATGGAGACTTCTGTGATTATTGGCCCTCATACGATAGCATTCCTTCGGATAATTGGCGGGGTGGCGTCTCGAGGTAATGCTTTCTCCTTCATGGCGGCTGGTATAGGATAGCAAAAAAAAATCGTTTTGACTTTGTTCAATTTTGTTTATGTTTTTTGTACTTAATCCACAGACTTTTGACCCTCTGTAGTTTTACCTACGATTATTTACTGTTGCCATGATCCATGGAAGATTCACTTTTTTTTCTTTTAAGCTGAATTCTTGATGCTTCGCTAGGGCTATCAAGGTGTTTTTTATCGTGACACCATCACTAAATGGATTGCCAACCAAGGCTCAGAAGACTCCATTCACCCACTCATCTAAGCAGGTTTTGCAGGACCAGTTGCCATCCAAAGGCTATAGAACCTAGTCTGGCTATTTACTCATAGCTGGAGGAGAAGAGATCATTCACACCTTTCCCAAGGGTGTTAGCACGTAAGTGAATGTAATGGATTCGAGAATTCGAACTCTGCTCTTCGATTCCTCAATCAAGCCGCTATCATTACTCCATTTGAAGTTAGCACCTGAATCCCCATCCTTTTCTCTACCGTTGCCAGACCAGACCAAAAATGGTGTACTGTTGTTATGATCAAGTAAGCATCTGAATCCATATGCTATCTTCTACCTTTGCCAGACCAGGTCTAAAATGGCGTACTGTTGTCATGATCCAGTAAATATTCTTTCTTGCGAGTCAGTCGTTCAATTTCGAACCGACTGCTCGTTTGAACTCTCTTCCTACGGATGGAGAAACCCGAAGGTACGCCGAAGGGCGGAGTCTCCTTCGGGGGAAACCGACCCTAAACCCGTTTATACGGGTTCGAATATTTTGGCCGAGCCCGCGCGCTCGGGAATTTAAAAGGCCTTTTGACACCCTCGTGAGAGGGTGACTGAATATCGTCAGTCGTTTTTCTGAGCGACTGTTCGGTTGTACTCTCTTCCTACGGGCGGGAGGAACCCGAAAGAAGCTACGTGGGGTCTCCTTGGGGGCTCAATATCTGAACCGTTTATAGTATTTACGTTTTATATTTTGGCCGAAACCCTGGCTCGGAAAGCGGGGGGTGGGGGGCTCAATATCGTAAATATTCTTTCTTTGATAGATTTTTTTTTTTACTCCTGTGGCAGTGGAGACTTCAGGGGCTATTGGCCCTCGTTCGATGGCGTTCCTTCGTATGATTGGCGCGATTGCGTCTCGATTAAGGGACGAGCCTCACGAAACGGAATGGCTCTTGAGCGTGTTTCACTGGCGATGGTGCAAAGTAATGCTTTCTCTATCATTGCGGCTGGCAGAGGATAGCAAAAAAAAACA